ATGCTTTCTTAGACTGTTTTCTTCTTCTGGGCTACCTTTAAGTTGTTGAACTATAAAAAGGAGAAAATTAAAAAAAAAAAAAAAGAAAAAGAAAAAGAAAAATGGTTACAAAAATTGTTGAAATTGAATTGATGCCAGCGTCACATAAAGTAATTTGAAGGACTGTAGCTTCAGTGCTGACAGAACACACTAATCTTCTCACATTCTAACCATTTGATTCGTTGCAGAAGTGATTATGAAAGATATAGAACATAATGATTCTTGTGGGGCCCTTCAGACTCAGAATACTCCATCATTCCGTGCTCATGCTATGCTGCATAATAGATCACATAAATAATCTGAAATCTCCTACAAAATGTTCATCATCTATTCTTTGTGATGAATATTTGTCAACGATTTACGGGCTAGTTTGGCCCAGTTCTGTGACTATTGGTGTGGAGGGATTTGCGAAACCGCGCTTCTGGAAAGGGGAAATAGGGGATGCTGAATAATTAAAAACAGCATCAATGATCTGGGGACAAACAAACTGATTTACTAAGTATAGTATTGGAATGCAAGATAACACACCATAATACAATATAATTAGAATTGAAGCTAATAAATCCAATATAATTAGAGAAAAAGTGTCTGATCACTGAAGGCCTCACCATACGCTAAGGTGAAATGTGCAGCTTGAGTAAACAGCAGGAAGGAGAGCCAAAGGAAGAAACCTTGCCAGAGTTTATATCTCCTCTCTGAACACAAAGCATTCAGGGGCGTGTAGTTCTTCTTCCGGACAGGTGCCCAGAACTGGAGCATTAACTCTTTAACTCCCAGTGCATTACATGATGTTATGATGTGGAATACTGTATGGAAACTGCTGAATCATGGCCTGAACCTCTGATTGATCACCCGAGATGAGCAATGAGTCAGCCCTGGAAGCACAGGTGAAAACAAATCTCCTGTGCTACCGGAAGGGGTGGAGCCTGGCTTCACCTCCCCTAAACTCTATTTAAGAGCTGACTAGCACTGGGGGAGGATCTTTTTTGGAAATTACTTCTCTTGGAGTCTCCTTAGCAAGCCCAGGACAAGGATAAGCTTTCCATCCGTTCTTCTTAAGTGTGATAACCTGTTTAGCCTAACTTTCCTGTATATTTCTTAATTATAACATCTGTATATTCATTGATTACACAAATACCGACAATCAAAAATCATAAAACCATGATATTCCCCCCCTTATTCTACATGGTCATGCTTAATATATACAAACAAACCAGAATTACTAAACATTATACTCACATGCACACGTATGCATATACATGGAATTACTGCACTCCCCAACATCAAATTCCTTTGTGGTACATATTGAACATCCCCATTTTTCTGCATCACCCACCAAGTGGACCCAGGTCCCTGGGCAAAAACAGTTCCACAAAGAGGTTTGCCCTTCCCAGAAGCTGGAAAGACCCAAATTGCTTTTCCCAACATGTTCATTACATGTACTACAGGGACCTTATCTCCCTAGACAGTATACAGGGAGCTGGCAGGACCATCACAATTGACAGATCCTCTAGTATTGACCAACCAGGTGGCTTCTGCCTAATGCTTCTTCCAGTGCTTAAATATTCCACCACCCATTGCTTTCAACATGGTTTTAACAACCCACTGTACTGTTCAATTTTACCAGAAGCTAGTCCATGATAGGGATATGATAAATCCACTCAATGCCATGATCCTTGGCCCAAGTATTTACAAGAGAATTTTTGAAATGAGTCCCATTATCTGACTCAATTCTTTCTGGAGTACTATGTTACCATAGGACTTGTTTCTCAAGACCTAACATGGTGTTTCAGGTAGCAAGCGTTCAATACCTAAAGGGAGCCCACAGAGAGGAGGGGAATCAACTATTTGAAAGGGTTGATAACTGCAGAACAAAGGGAAACGGTTTGAAGTTGAGGGAGGGGAGATTTAGGTTGGATGTCAGGGGGAAATTCTTTACAGAGAGAGTGGTGAGGAGCTGGAACAGTGAGGTTCTGGATGTCCCGTCCCTGGAGGTGTTCAAGGCCAGACTGGATGGCGCCCTGGGCAGCCTGGTCTAGCATTAAATGTGGAGGTTGGTGGCCCTGTATGTGGAAGGGGGGTTGGGGATTCATGATCCTTGAGGTCCCTTCCAACCATGGCCATTCTGTGATTCTGTGATTCTTTGATACCTAGTGGTTGCCTCTACCATAGTAAGCACATAGCACCACTGTGAGATTGTGGCAAGGTGATATAATCAACCTGCCACACTTCCCCATATTTATACTTTTGCCATCGCCTTTCCCCAAAAAGAGGTTTCATCCTCTTGGCTTGTTTAATTGCGGCACATGTTTCACAGTCATAAATAACCTGTGCAATAGCATCCATAGTTAAGTCCACTCACCGATCTCTCACCCATTTATATGTTTCACCTCTTCCTTGATGGCCTAAGGTCTCGTGGGCCCACCGAGCTAGAAATAATTCACTCTTGTGTTGCCAGTCCAAGTCTATTTGAGCCACCTCAATTTTGGCAGCTTGATCTACCTGATGGTTGTTTTGTTGTTCTTCAGTAGCCCAACTCTTGGGTACATGAGCATCTACATGATGCACCTTTACAACCATATCCTTTATTCGGGCAGCAATATCTTTCCACAGTTCAGCAGCCCAAATAGGTTTACCCCTTCTTTGCCAGTTGTTTTGCTCCCACTGCTGTAATCACCCCCATAAGGCATTTGCCACCATTCATGAGTCAGTATAAAGATAAAGCACGGCCACCTCTCCCGTTCAGCAACATCTAAGGCCAGTTGGACAGCCTTTACTTCTGCAAACTGACTTGATTCTCCTTTCCCTTCAGTGGCCTCTGTGACTTGTCGTGTAGGACTCCACACAGCAGCTTTCCATCTGCAATTATTCCCCACTGTATGACATGATCCATCAGTGAAAAGGGCATATTCTTTTCATTTTCTTTTAGATCATTGTATGGTGGAGCCCCTTTAGCTCGCGATACTTCTTCTGCCGGTGATGTTCCAAACTTTTTGCCTTCAAGCCTGTCCATGATCACCTCTAGGATTCCTGGACAACTGAGGTTCTCCATTTGAGCTCGCTGAGTAATCAATGCCATCCAATTACTCCAAGTAGCATCAGTAGCATGATGGGTGGAGAGGACCTTTCCTTGAACATCCAGTTCAACACTAGCAGTCAAGGTGCTAGAAGAAACTGTGTTTCAGTACTGATTGCTTCGGAAGCAGCCCGAACCCCCTCATACGCGGCTAAGATCTCCTTTTCAGTTGGAGTGTAGCACTTTAAGACCCTCTGTACGCTCAACACCAGAATCCCAGGGGTCGACCTTGGGTCTCTCCTGAGGCTCTTTGTCACAAACTCCAAGTGGGACCTTTCTCTCCAGCAGCAGTGTAGAGGATGTTCTTTACATCCTGTCCCATCCATACTGGCCCCAGGGCCACGGCACGGGCTATCTCTTGTTTAATCTCTTCAGATGCCTGTTGCTGCTCAGGATCCCACACAAAATCTTTCTTCTCCCATGTCACCTGATAAAGGGGGCTTACAATGAGGCTATAGTTTGGAGCATGGATTTCCAAAAGCCCACTACACCCAGAAATGATTGTGTCTCTTTCTTATTAGTGAGCGAAGACAAGGCTTTTGTTGATCACACCCGACGGGATGTGATGATGTCCATCTTACCACTTTATACCTAGGAACTGAATTTCCTGGGCAAGTCCTTTCACTTTGCTTCACTTAATAGTGAAACCAGCACACAGAAAGATCTGGATTATTTGCCCTCCTTTCTCAAAAACTTCCCTTGCTGTGTTGCCCCACACAGTAATGTCATCAATATACTTGAAGTGCTCAGGAGCACCGCCCTGTTCCAGTGCAGCTTGGATCAACCCATGGCAAATGGTTGGGCTATGTTTCCACCCCTGGGGAAAACGATTCCAGGTATACTGAATGCCCCTCCAGGTGAAAGCAAACTGTGGCCTACATTCTTTGGCCGAAGGAATGGAGAAAAAGGCATTAGCAGTATCAATGGTGGCATACCATTTGGCTGCTTTTGACTCCAATTCATATTGGAGTTCTAAGGTGTCCGGTACAGCACCACTCAGTGCGGGTGTGACTTCATTCAGGCCACAGTAGTCCACTGTCAGCCTCCATTCTCCACTGGCTTTACGCACTGGCCACATGGGGCTATTAAAAGGTGAGTGAGTCTTGCTAATCACTCCCTGATTCTCTAGTTGACGAATCAACTTATGAATGGGGAGCAAAGAATCCCTGTTGGTGAGGTACTGCCGTCTCTGCACTGTTTTTGTAGCAATCGGTACCTGTTGCTTTTTTAAGTAGCAACCCCACAACAGACGGATCTTCTGACAGGCCAGACAAAACAGACAACTACTTAACACTTTCTGTATCTACAGCAGCTATTCCAAAGGCCCATCAATACCCCTTAGGATCCTTGAAATATCCCCTTCTGAGGTTGTAGTAGGCGTGGCGAGGAAACGGAATGTGACGGGGTCAGGTTCCCTATGCTCCGAGCTTGCCAGGTGATGCCCTGTGATAGGACAGCAAGCATGCAAGGGGTGTAGACAAAGCAGGACAAGAATGTGGGTATTTAAGTGCCTGCTACATTCCAATAAACGCCATTTTGCTTCACCTATTCTGGGGGTCTGCGCAAGCATTTGGCCCCGACCTGGTCAGGGTTGGTCTCGCTGGGACGTGGCGCCCTCGGTTGGCAGAGGACGAACAACATGAAGAAGCAACAAGTGGTGACCCCGACATGATCTGCCTATCGAGGGTTAACCACCCGGCATGCCCATGAAGCGGAGACGAGCCTGTGAGGTGGCGGCAGGTTGCTCACGGAAGACACATCGCGGAGAGAGCCTGTGAGGTGGCGGCAGGTCGCGTGTGTAACCATGGAACAAGTGATTAAGGTACTTTTGCAGTTTTGTAAAGAGCACTGTGGTAAAAATACTCCTTCGCGGAAGGAGATCGCCATGGTGCTGTCGCTTTTAGAAAAAAGGGGGGAGCTGGACTCTTCCCAGCAAGTGTTAGATTCATGCAGCTGGGATTCACTCACCTCGGCACTATGTCAGCGTGCCATGAACAACCAGAAAGCCGCGGAACTTAAGACGTGGGGTTTGATACTTGGAGCCCTTAAGGCGGCTAAGGGGGAGGGTAAGCTTAGGGCAGAAAAGGAGGGGGGAGGGGCCGCGGGGAGCGGGACTTTGGAATCTTGCAGGTCCGACGAACAAAGGACGGCGAGCGGGATGGTGAACGGGGGCGGAGACATGAAGGAAGGGGAACCGCTGGATCTGCCATGTGACCCAACGGCTCTGCCTCCGCCCTACCCTAGGCGGCAGTTATATCCTTCTTTGGAAAAGTTAGCTCAGACAGAACCGCCCACAGAGGGAAGCGCGAAAGACAGGAGTCAGGTTACAGACTGGGTAAAGATTAAGGAGGAGGTAGAAGAGAGGGGTCTCACGAAACTGGTTGCGCTTCCGGTCGTGGTATTGGAGGAGGGAGGACCGATTTGGGTTCCGTTGGACCCGAAAGGGGTAGCGAGGGTGATCGAGGCGATAGAAAAGAAGGGGTTGAAATCCCCCCTGACAATGAATGCCCTTGAAACTCTTACTGTGCAAGGACCCCTGTTACCATACGACATTGAGAATCTAATGCGCATGGTGTTGAAACCAGTACAGTACACGCTGTGGAAGGAGGAGTGGCAAGCGCGGCTTAGGCAGATGTTAGTGACAGCGCAGAATGATCAGGGGAACCCATTAAACGCGTCCAACATTCAGAGATTAATGGGTAGCGCACCAGGTATGCTAACTGCCCAGGCTCAGGTTACCCAACTGAGACCCGGGGAGCTGATAGCTACATCTGATGCCGCTTTAGAGGCGTTTAGGAGGCTCGCAAAGAATGCAGAGCCCTCTACCCCGTGGACAGAGATTACGCAGGGCCCCACGGAGTCATTCCAGGATTTTGCGGATAGATTAATTAAAGCAGTAGAGGGGTCAGACCTACCCAGAGCGGTCCACGGTCCTGTTATCTTGGACTGCTTGTATCAGAAATCGAGTGGGGATATACGAGTCTTGCTGAGAGTGGCCTCAGAAAAGTTTCATACCCCTGGTGAGGTCATCAAATATGTACTGGACAAGCAGAAATCACACTCGTCTGTGGCAGGTGAGGTTGCCGCCGCAGTGGCAGGAGTGCTGGTGGCACACGGAGAGGTTGGCCGCCAGATTGGAGATTGGCCACTAGGACCATGTTTTAGGTGCGGTCAGCTGGGTCATATCAAGGCCCAGTGCAGGAGCAACACAGGGGGATGGCAGCATTGTAAATGTACGGCAGTTTGGGACTTTTATGGGTATGGGTTCTCTTTCAAAAGGGGTGCCAACGAGGTGCTATGGAATAACAAAACGGCCAAGGCGTTGCCCCCTGGAATCTTCTTGATTTGTGGAGATAGAGCCTAGCAGGGCATCCCGCACAATGCCTTAGGGGGACCCTGTTACCTAGGGGAGCTGACGTTACTGTCTCTGAATTTCACGACATGGATGCAATATGGTCCGAACGTGACAAGCCATCGTGTTAAACGGTCAAGCCCTGTTCCGGAGAGCTGCAATGACGAGGTAGAGTTGTGGAGTGCCACAGCACGGATATTCGCATCGTTTTTCGCCCCTGGGGTTGCCGCAGCACAGAGCTTGGCTCAGATTGAACGCCTAGCATGTTGGTCGGTTAAGCAGGCGAATTTAACGACATTAGTACTGAATGCGATGTTAGAGGACACGAACAGCATTCGACATGCAGTGCTGCAAAATAGAGCGGCCATCGATTTCTTGCTCCTGGCACAGGGGCATGGGTGTGAGGACCTAGAAGGAATGTGTTGCTTCAATCTTAGCGACCACAGTGTATCCATCCATAAAGCGCTGAAAGCCCTGCAAGACCACTCAAATAAGATCCAAGTGGAAGACGATCCCATCAGGGACTGGCTTAAAGGCGTGTTTGGCAGCTTTGGAGGGTGGGTTGCGAAGATTATTAGGGTAGTTGCGCTAGTATTGCTTGTAATAATTGGTATTGCGGCCATTTTGCCATGCATAATCATGTGCTTCCAGAATTGCCTCTCAAGAATTATGTGGCAAGTTATGGATCAGCGGATACAGTATCACAAGGTGAAGGATCAGCTATGAAGTTTGCGTTCGTGCTGTGACGGGTTAGTAGCTTTTGAGCATAGGGAGGGGGAGATGTAGTAGGCGTGGCGAGGAAACGGAATGTGACGGGGTCAGGTTCCCTATGCTCTGAGCTTGCCAGGTGATGCCCTGTGATAGGACAGCAAGCATGCAAGGGGTGTAGACAAAGCAGGACAAGAATGTGGGTATTTAAGTGCCTGCTACATTCCAATAAACGCCATTTTGCTTCACCTATTCTGGGGGTCTGTGCAAGCATTTGGCCCCGACCTGGTCAGGGTCGGTCTCACTGGGACGTGGCGCCCTCGGTTGGCAGAGGATGAACAACACGAAGAAACAACATGAGGTAATCAATATCAGGTATATATGGAGCCCCTGAGCTGGTCACAGTAGGATGTTTTTGCCAGTCTTTACCAGTGAGGCTGATTTTGGCCTCCAACATAATCAGCTCTTGGGAACCCCCAGTCACCCCACAAATATAAATTGATTCTGTCCCTTGGTGACTCAAACGCACTAGAGTGCACTGAGCACCAGTGTCCACCTTATATTTCTGTGGTTCTGATGTGCCAGGCCATCTAATCCACACAGTCCAATACACTCTATTATCACTTTCTGCCCCCTGGCTGGGGGCAGGGCTCCTCTATTTGTTACCTCTGTTGGTCCTATGGCTACTGTCATATCCTGCAGCAACTGGAACACTCACGTTTTTGGAGGAGTTCACCTTGGTGGTTGATCATTCTTATAATTCTTTTACCTGTGCTTGAAGTGCAGGAGTGTTTTTTTTTTTATGTCACTTGTTTGTATCTTCTCTGTGGTTACCTAAGTAACGGCACGGTAATACGTGATATAGTCTTACTGTTGTCACTTACACGATCAGCAGGACATCTTCTTTTGATAGCTGAGACATTGGATGACACACGTTGGGAAGAAACCAAGTTGATCAGCCCTTCCAATTGGCTGTTTTAGGAATTTTGATCCCCATCGGATGTATCTGATATCACCATGGATTCATCAGCATTAAGCACAGTAGACAGTTCATCTATTATATCTTCTTGATTGCTCTCCATTCTCCAGTTTTTCAGCTACTTTTGCAATGGTTGAAACACAACCTCCTAGAGGGTTTAAATGTCTTGAAGTTTATTAATCAGTTTATTCATAAGGGGTCTCTTTCCCCTCTGCCATACATTGCTACAAATTACTGGCATACCTTTCTGGTGCAGTCTTTGTGAATATACGCCACATATTTGGTGTACACCTGACTCTCAGGATCTGCTCTTGGTCTGGCTTATCAGGAATGAAAGTGGGGCTATGTAGCATTTCCACCACAGCATATTCTCTCAAATAATGGATGCCTTTTTCCCTATCAGTTCATTTCTTTTTCTCAGGCATCAGATCGCCTTTGAAGGGGTATCTTTCTTTCTTGGTTAACACCATCTGCTTCCAGAGGGTGAAGGACCCATTCTGGCATGTACTAATACCTCTGTCAATGGCTGAGTCCTCACCCAGTTGGCGAGCTTCTCTACTATCTAGCCACACACTGTTGGCCCTATTGTCCCAACATCGAAGTAACCAGGTGACAATAGTCTCATTTGGGCGGTGTGAAGTGTCTTTTCTCAGATCTCAAATTTCATTCATTTTCAGAGATCAGTCAGTATTGGTAAGAATGTCTTGCTCACCTCCTACTCTTTCAGGACTTCTTGTTGCCTTTCTGGGTGTTGGTGACCGCAATTTTACTGGGGTTTCATCTCTCCCTCTGGATGCCCTGGATCGTGGAGCCACTTTTCTTGACCTCTTTCCTCCTCTTCTCTTTCTGTTTCTGCTTCCTCTACTATCTCCTCCTCCTCTTTCTTCTGTTCTGTCATGGTTTTGTGATTTTTGTTTTTTTTTGTATTCCACATCATAATTCCGTCATCATGTCACAACATTCCGTCATCGATGTCATTGTTAAAGATGTTAAAGAGC